TCATTTTGTATAGATCGTGAGCCAAGAGAGATCAGGTGATTTTCCCAAAGCAACTGGGAAATGTGCTGAGTGTAGAACCAAGCTCAGGATTCTCAGGTGAGTACTACTTGTACTCTATTGCTTAGACTGAACATATGAGACAACTTTCACTACTTTAAAAAAAAAAAACAAAAAAAACCTAAAATGGACCTCATCATCAGATACTGTTTGATTCAACAAGTATTTTTTGGAGTACGAACTCTTTAGAGAGAAGCCCCAGTGTGGCACTACAGGATAAATATTACACTGCTAACCCACAAGATTGACAGTTGAAACCTACTAGTCGTTCTTCTGAAACCTTTTACAGGGTTGCTATGAGTCAGAACCAACTAGATGAGCACTTAAACAGTAATAACAACACTCTTTAAAGAAAGGAGCCCTGGTGGTATTGGGCTGCTTAACACAAGGTCAGCAGTTAGAATCCTACACAGGGTCACTGTGAGTTAGAACTGACTCAACAGCATGCAGCCACCCCCATCACCACTCTTTAAAGAATGGACTCAAACATAACAACATGATAAAGATGGCTCAGGACTGGGCAGTTTTTTGTGGGGGGTTTTTTGTGCATCTGTTTACTATGAGTCGGCACTGACTTAACAGCAACTAAGGACAACAACTCTAAAAAGAGATACATGAAGCAAGCTGTTTTTAAATTTACTGCCTTGTGGAGGACCCTATAACATAATGTGTGCTGTTTTTTCTTTTTGTAATATCAAGTATATAATGACACAATCAAAGTGAGAAAAGTTGTCCTTGCTTCTATTTGAGAATAGGATTTGACTTAAATTTTTAAAAACTTTCTGTTGTGAATTGGGTGAAGGTTTACAGAGCAGAGCATCAGTCTTCCATTCAGCATTGGTACACATTTTATTTCATTCTCATTCATTGCAGTCACCTCAAATTAACATTATTTATACCACTTCTTGGTGCTGCACTGTAGGATAAGCACTAGACTGCTAATAAAAATATTCATTTTTTTTTTTTGGTGGAAGAAAGATGAGGCTTTCTACTCCAACAAAGATTTACAGTCCAGGAACCCCTATACAGGATCACTATGAGTCAGAACCAATCCAACTGCACTTAATGACAACAACTTCCTTACTCTTTCTTTTTGTAGTTAAAAAGAAAACTTATTTCTTATAATTTTATTTTGTTGAAAAAATATACAGCAAAATATACAAATGTAACAATTTAGTTAACATTGATTACATTCTCACCCTTCCTTTTTCAATTGTTCCTCCCCCATTAACAAATTCACAGCTCCATAAGGTTTCTATCTCGTCTTTTGAATTCCTGTTGTCAGTTTGATCCCATACTGTCTTAAAAAGGAGCTCTGGTAGCGTAGTGGTTATGAATCGGGCTGCAAACCACAAGGTCAGCAGTTTGGTACTACTATCAGTTCCGCAGGAGAAAGGTGAGGCTTTCTGCTCCCGTAGATTTACAGCCTCGGAAACTCTGTACAGGGTCACTATGAGTCAAAACCAGCTCCACGGCACATAACCACCACCACTGTCTTAAAAGAGTAAAACCCTCACTCAGACATTCTTTTCTAGTTTAGCTAAACAGTTTGGTTTTAAGACTTCAATGGCTATTTTTGAGTTTAAAAGAAAAGCAAAATTTTAATACCATTTCAGGTAACTGTGAATACACTTCTTCAGTACTACACCAAATTCTGATATGGTAGTGTCTTAAAGGTTAATTAAAATGAAGACTCAAACCACATTAATAAGCTTTTTGTAATATTACATTAAAATAAACTGGCTAGAACAAACAAGATGGTGGATCGGGTGGACGTATAGCATAGAGCTCCGCCAACAACAACACAGAATACCCGACCAAGCAGGCTCAGGGGC